AGTAACACTGGTAACACTAGTAAAGTATGGCCAAAGCCTGTATGCATTTTGACCACAATACCCTAAGTGCAGGGTGTTCATCGCTTTCGTTGCTTACATAATACTAGCATAGCTATCGGAAATTTTTGCTTATAGTGGTCCTCAATAGCTGCTTCAATATACAATTATCCCGGTGTCGCTAACTCGTCGGTGTCATTCTTGCCTTAAGCAAACGTGGGAGAGGAATTGGTAGCGGCTGCAGCTCAGATGGGGGTATCAGAACTCAAAAGGATCCTTTACTAAGTCTTATGAGCGCAAGGACTAGATGGCCATCGCCTACATCACCTACTGGATGGGGGAAGGGGAGGATAGGCACAAGACAAAATCATCTGGACAACATCTTGGAAAAAAGGGATCCGGACTCGTTTTTGCTGATCATCTTCCTTCGACTAATTGTGAGCTGATACCAAAGTTTCAGGCGACAGAACATCATTTGAAAATTTTTGGTAATAATTTTTGGGTTCGCCCACCAAAAAAATTAAGACACTTTTTTGAAGTACAGTCTAGTAGATCTCACGGTAAATAGTGCCCTTGTGGTGAACTATGCGCGTAAACAAATAGTGTCGCCTGGAATGAAGCAAATTTGCTCGTACAAAATGCTGGCATTTTAAGCGGAGCTCTTGTTCACTCGCAAATTTCACCGCAAACTCTCAGCACCGCAACACTAAACTTACCTCAGATATACCGACTGTCTCTATCTTGATGGACTCGTGTAACGGCCAACCTACGTGGTAGAAGGTTTAATGTGGCCTCTTGTTTCCACTTCGTGATAGTTTGGAGAGTGGTTTGAAGGAGTTCAACATAAGAATTTAGAAAGCCAAGTTGCAGCTTATTGTTAGCTGAAAATAGAGAAAAACTATTTACTAAATTTATTAGGACTTTATTAATCACAAGTGATAAGAGATTTGGTCTCACTAATTGTGACTGAGGCTCGGTTCTTTCAAATAGCTTGCCATCTTTAGCTAAACTAGTGCTTGCTTAGGTACACTGGCAGTTATTGGTTTACAGTATGGAAATTCTCCGAAAACGTGGACTCGAGTTATCGTGGAGGGCAGACCTGATCCAACGCACGCAAAGGTATCGCCATTGCCTTACTAGCCAGTCTACAAGAAAAACATGCGTAGGTGTACCTCATCGACTATGGAATGCGGCAACTTGTAAACGCACGAAGCTTGTATGAAATGCCTATCGAGATGATGCGAGTTCCACGTGAGTGCAAAAAGCGCAAAGACTTCCGCTCCAGTGTTTCCCTTCAGCCCAAGCGTTTCCTATCATTCCGAAGATCTCACAACCTCCCGATCTTGGTCCCGGTGAATGGCAAAAATTGAAAAATGTTCGCATAACCGTTCATATGAGTAAGCGAACACTCCACATCAAGTTCATGATTTAAAAGGTTATGCCTTTATAGGAGGTGTGAAAGATGGCAAATTTGTATGCGACCAAATGACGGTCTATGACGCTTCTACACGTACGGACGTCGACTTTGGTGCCGCATTACGGAGCAACATCCAGCTAGAACTGTGAGATTGTACTTTGAATCAATGGACAGTTGAAGTGCTTGTTTGGGAGCTAGTACTAAATATTTGGAGGTCATGCACTCCTATGGGTGGCTATAGTTGACGTAGATCCGGGCTGGAACCAGCTCGCTATTGTGTGAAAAAATGAAAACGCAAGGCGGCTCTTATGATCCTTTGCATTCAGGTGTACTTATCAACATAAATTATGTTACACTTGAAGGAGAAAATCCTCGTAACCAGGGTCGAGCAAGGGGTCAGGCGCAAGTCCTTCGA